CCAAAATGGCGTCCAAAGATGGCGGATTGACGACTTTGACTTTAGTTAGTTTTTTGGTCACTGAGAATCAGCATTAAGCTTAATTTCCTCATAGTTGGTCTTTTATTAAAGCTGAATAGTTATAGAATAATAAAACATGAAGAAATATTAAAAAATAATTGTCTAAGGCTATGAAAAACACCAGTAAACTCAATTTTTTTAACAAAAAAATTTTCAAGTTACAAATCAAGCGTCGTTTGTAATTAAACGGCCTACAATAACGCAAAACGTGCTGAAATAAACCATCTGGAGAATATATTTCTCTTTCTGAAACGCTGATTATTTTTTACAAATGTTTAAGTAGTTCCGTAAAAAATGCACTTATGCGGCAGAAAAGCGGTACTGGCGTGGGTGCCTACAGGCCTCTACCACACCATTCAGTGCCCATAAATGGCTTAGTTATAGTGATATAATAACATTTTTGGTACATTATATTGGTTTTATTAACGAACAAATATTAATGCAATAATTTTATAGTAAAAAAAAAAAAATTTAATTTAAAAAAAAATTTATTATAATTTTTTTAAATTTTAACCTCCTTTATTTTATACGTAGGTCGTTTAAGAATACCTCAATTGTAAAAATGATATAATTATAATAATAAAAGTTAATTAAAAAATATTTTGCTAAATATCTTGATTTTTTTTTATTTAACGTTTGCAATTTAACACTGTGTTTTGAATATTTACTGATTCTTAGAAGTAATTAAAATTTTTATATATTTCCCAGGAAATGAGTCATATTCATACCTTTTTTATAAACTAAAATAATATATACCTAATCTGAACTATATATAATGAATAGCTACCGGGTTGTTTAGTAAAACTCATATATCACTAATTAAAAAATTAATTTTTATTTCCTTTATTTTGTGCAGAAGTTGGACTATATCATAAATAAATAGGAAATTTTAATATTGAATGAATTATTCTCTATGCACAAAGAAAGATATAAAGGGTGACCCTATAAGTTCTTCTATAAACCAAAACTGATTGTTTGGATTTGATCTCAAAATGAGGAAAAACGTGAACTTAAACGAGAAAATTGGAAAAATACATTAAGCGAACGAGAAAGGAAGTGCCAAAACCTCGGAATAGATAAAAAGGACCAGTTATATCCATTATATAGCTAAATGAATGTATAGTAGATAGATGAACAGAATATTTCAAGATGCTGCTAAAACGGGATCAATTGCAGTTTGGATGATATTAAGTGGACGATGTAGGTTTATTATGGTGAAAACCACTTTATTTTCGATTGCTGAAGGTGCACCTCGGGACTATATTAACTTTGAAGATGAATATAGAGATGTATATCGAGAAAGTTATAGCTCATAGCTTTCCTTCTGTTTAGTGGATTTTCAAAAGATTTTTTAAGGGATCTAAAAGGAAAACGAGTTTTTCTGAAAGACAGTTAGATATTAGCATAATCCAAAGTGTGAGGCACTGAGCAGATAGAGAGCTATTTTTCTTTTTATGTGGACTTCTCTATAACCTGCCTTAAAGTGAAGACAGTCCCAATTTTCAACTTCTCTTCCAATGTGCAACTTGAGTTTCTCAATCCATATCGCTCTGGCAATCGACAATATTTCTTATTCCAGCTTCTACGATTCTTGTGTATAATTTGTTTGATACACTAAACAGGAATGGGTCTTGATGGGTATTACATTTCCTAGTATCTCCTTTCTTGTAAAGGTAAAAACCACAGTCCTTTCATATTATTTTCTAATATGCTTGTTGCCTATGTACGCGCAAAACTGTCAAAGCAGTTTGGTTTCGCCCTTTCCATCTTTCTTTGTGCAGAGAGAATAATACATTCAATATTAAAATTTCCTATTTTTTTATGATATGGTACAAATTCCGAACAATTCAAGAATAACGAGAAGAATAGCGAGCTACAACTAATATAAGATACCTTAAAAAATCTTTTGAAAATCCACTAAACAGAAGGAAAGCCATGAGCTATAACTTTCTCGATATACATCTCTATATTCATCTTCAAAGTTAATATAGTCCCGAGGTGCACCTTCAGCAATCGAAAATAAAGTGGTTTTCACCATAATAAACCTACATCGTCCACTTAATATCATCCAAACTGCAATTGATCCCGTTTTAGCAGCATCTTGAAATATTCTGTTCATCTATCTACTATACATTCATTGAGCTATATAATGGATATAACTGGTCCTTTTTATCTATTCCGAGGTTTTGGCACTTCCTTTCTCGTTCGCTTAATGTATTTTTCCAATTTTCTCGTTTAAGTTCACGTTTTTCCTCATTTTGAGATCAAATCCAAACAATCAGTTTTGGTTTATAGAAGAACTTATAGGGTCACCCTTTATATCTTTCTTTGTGCATAGAGAATAATTCATTCAATATTAAAATTTCCTATTTATTTATGATATAGTCCAACTTCTGCACAAAATAAAGGAAATAAAAATTAATTTTTTAATTAGTGATATATGAGTTTTACTAAACAACCCGGTAGCTATTCATTATATATAGTTCAGATTAGGTATATATTATTTTAGTTTATAAAAAAGGTATGAATATGACTCATTTCCTGGGAAATATATAAAAATTTTAATTACTTCTAAGAATCAGTAAATATTCAAAACACAGTGTTAAATTGCAAACGTTAAATAAAAAAAAATCAAGATATTTAGCAAAATATTTTTTAATTAACTTTTATTATTATAATTATATCATTTTTACAATTGAGGTATTCTTAAACGACCTACGTATAAAATAAAGGAGGTTAAAATTTAAAAAAATTATAATAAATTTTTTTTTAAATTAAATTTTTTTTTTTTACTATAAAATTATTGCATTAATATTTGTTCGTTAATAAAACCAATATAATGTACCAAAAATGTTATTATATCACTATAACTAAGCCATTTATGGGCACTGAATGGTGTGGTAGAGGCCTGTAGGCACCCACGCCAGTACCGCTTTTCTGCCGCATAAGTGCATTTTTTACGGAACTACTTAAACATTTGTAAAAAATAATCAGCGTTTCAGAAAGAGAAATATATTCTCCAGATGGTTTATTTCAGCACGTTTTGCGTTATTGTAGGCCGTTTAATTACAAACGACGCTTGATTTGTAACTTGAAAATTTTTTTGTTAAAAAAATTGAGTTTACTGGTGTTTTTCATAGCCTTAGACAATTATTTTTTAATATTTCTTCATGTTTTATTATTCTATAACTATTCAGCTTTAATAAAAGACCAACTATGAGGAAATTAAGCTTAATGCTGATTCTCAGTGACCAAAAAACTAACTAAAGTCAAAGTCGTCAATCCGCCATCTTTGGACGCCATTTTGGGGCAGTGCGTTCACTTTTTTTTGTGGGAACATTGGCTTTTTTTTAATAAATTGTTACAAGGAACACAACGATATGCAATTTATAGGGATGTGGGGGGGGTGCACGGTAAGGGGGTCTGGCCCACCGTGTAGAACATTAAGGTCGTTATGGATGATTTTATTTGTATCAAAGTAAGGAGCATTGAGCATTTTACGAAGGATATTGGATTGTAAGGATAGGATACGAGAGAAATTCGATGGTTTAGTGGAGCCCCTAAGCTCAATTCCGGATGTCCAAGTAAGCCTTATTATAGTAATGTATATGGGTCTTTTGTTCAAGTGGGGTCCAATGTATCGGATGTGTTCAACTGGGATAAGTGGGGTATTATTAACGAATACTGTAGGACAGGAGTCATAGGTTTACAACCATGGTTAAAGATGATTTGACGGAATTTATTTTAAACCTGCAGTTTTGACACCATTCTTAAAGGTTTGTGATGTGTGACTGAAGAGTTTGGAGTGCGATTGATGGGCCATTATTAACTGATAGGACACATATGCCATCGGCATACGTTGCGATGATAAATGTTAGGATGGGTTGGGATATCAGCTGTATAAACTGTATGAAGGATATCGCTGAAGATACTACCTTGAGAACATCAGTAGACTAGGAAAAGAGGCGTTATTATGATTTACTTTACTTTGAAGACTCTGTTGGTGAGATAGGAACGGATAATAAGAAAGTATGTTGGGTGCAGGAATTTTCGGAGTTTGTAAAGTAGTACACTCTACTGGATTGCGTTAACAATAACGCGCGAATGGCTACTTTACCATTAACCTGGCTCGGGAGCGGGATGGGCGATCGGGCTAACGTGTGTGCAAAACGGATGTTGCCCAGGTAACCTGATAAACTGAAGATAAAATAACTACGAGTTTACGTTCTGGTGCCGGGGAGAGGGCGAGAGGATTAACTTTTGTCATAAATTCCCCACTCCAGAAACGCACTAACTTACCTCAAAGTGTTCTTCATCTCTGCCAGCAGTTGACAATATTGATTTGGGTACAATGACGTCCAATGAAAAACTCAGTAGCTCACAAGCAAACAGTGCTATCATTATTGCTACTCTCGCCCCAGACTTGCTTGTTGTTTCTGGCTGCATGGGTCCCCATTCCAGCCGAGTTTAAACTCGTAAATCAAAATTATACGAAAATCAAGCGTTGTCATCTTAGTAAAGACTGAATTATTTTTAAGGAGGGAAATGCTACAGAGGCCAACAAACATTATCGTTTGGAATCGGATTAATAAGTGTTGACATTCATACAAATGAATAATCAAGCAAACGTAGACAGTTTGTAATATAGAGTGGTATTTTAAAGAAAACTCAAAATACTGCATTTTTTTTTTCCGGACAACCCTATAGTTCTGACAATAAAATCCTCAAATCTATGTCTCGGTCGAACCCTTGGACATTTGCCTCCCGTTTTGCCCTTTTATTGATTCCTACCTTATCTTTAGCAATAACCTAACATATGTATTCCTGAGATCATGAACTATTGCTTCAATTAATGATACCATAACATCTAGCTAGGAATATTTAAATAAATATCTTATTTTCTCGTTTCATTTGTGTTATAACAGCTGTTTTGTTTTCAGGGCAAAAGCTGGAAGACATGGATATATCAGTGCACTGTGATGTAGCTATATTCGAATGGCTAATGAAGTGGGTCCATAGGCCACTGAAAGGAACACGTCCTGTTTTAAGTAAGAAATTTTGTAAGCGAAAACAAAACAGGAAATTAGTAAAGTTCTTATGAGTTATTTTTGCGTCTCATAAAAAAACTCAGAGTATATTGAATATAATATTTTATGGTACACCTACGAGGCAGATCACTTAATGTAACTTAACTTTGTAAAAATATCTCAATAGATATTAGCATTTTTTAAATAAATTTAAGTTATTCCATATTAAATCCCGTTAAAGAAAATCAAGGTTTAGAGCAAAATGATGTCACACTAAGCTGCTTTGCTGAAATACATTAAGTAAAGTATGGGCTAGTTTATTTAGAAAACTATATCTCAAACTAGCTAAAAGAATGGTTTCGAAGTAGCGTCTAAATGATGTATTATCCCATACGGAGGCATCTATTGCTATTTCGAATGTAAATGAGGAAAACGAACAAGTTAATGAACCGATAACTCGCTGAAACATATACCGAAAGTATCAATGTTTGTTGTAGATTAAATAACATGAATATTAATTACTGCAACTTTTAAAAAATTAGACTATTGATTAGTCAAAAAAAAAAAAAAAAAAAAAAAAAAAAGGTCATTTGCCGTACTTGCATAGACTTTTTGTTTAATTTCACGCCAAACAAAAAAATATCCAGTGGTCTGGTGAGCTTGCAGGCCAAGCCACTGGTCGTACACGGCCAATCCATTGATTGAGATATAGGATATGAATGAGCAAGTCCGGTCAATGACCTTATTTCCTTACGAAGAAGGATAATGAAATCTTGTGAAACAATAACACATATCTAGTACTGTTCTGCCACTGCTGCTATTGAAGAAAGATGCCAAGCCTGTCTTAATGCTCAAGGAAATCACATTGCGCAACATTTAATATGAATGTTAATGTTTACATTTAATTAATAAAGTAGTTAGAACAAATAAATAGGTTTTGTTTATTTCATATAATGTAAATATTTCATAACAACGAAAATCTCCTAAACAAAGCGTTTCTGGATATTCCTTCATTTTTTTTTCTTGTTTTAACGTCCTTAGTTCATATCTGCAGTTTGGCCACTTAACTCTGAAATACCCTGTATATAAAAAACACTTTTTGAGGTACTTGATATTAATTAATTGAGACATTAATGGCTTTTTGACCGCTGAGTGTAAAACTCTTGTCATCGAACTCTTTTCTATGAACTCTTTCCACACTGTTAACATTGTCCCTATTGTGACAAAATGTTATATCACTCAATAACAAATTATACTAGCTCAAAAACAAAAAAGAATAATCAGACTAAGTAGCGTTCAAATCTCTTACAAAGAACTCGATTAAATACCTCATTTAGATAAATTAGCTGTTCGTATTCAATAAAAATTATATATATATAATAAAACATGTCATAGATTCTAAATTTAAAATGTTAATATATTTAAACATTTATGAATTATGTTCTTGTTTTTTCACGTATATTTTTGTATTTCAGGCATTAACAATGTGACTCCAATACTGATATCAGCTATGTTTCTTAGAATGGAACCTTTAGTAGATGAATCTGTTCATTTTTTCAAGAAAAATATCAAAGAAATTATTGAAACCACGACCAGTTTATCTTGTCTTAGTGATAATATATTGGAGAAGTTCGTAATATAATCATTATCTAATTTGTTTATTTACAACTAGCTTATTGAATACTTAATAGTTGACCGTTGTATTATAGAGGAAGGAGGTGGTCCTGGGTGGCGGTCATAAATAGACTAAAATAGTGGCAAAACTATTTTATTACATTATTACTGATGATTAATTATACGGACAAGATACAAAAAGATATCTTGTCCGATCTAGCTCTGAAGACCTGCAAAGTCGGGTCGATACGTTGACTTTTAATAAAACAGTTTTGCCACTATTTGAGTATATTTATGATCGCCGGGGTGGACCATTTTCTTCCTCTACAACTAGCTTAATTTAATTTTCAATATGCAAATTTTCTAATTGTTGATCTTTGGTTTTAATCACCGGGACGGTAATATTACGATTAATACATTTCGAGATATTATTTCGATTTGGAAGTTTTCAAGATTATAGTCCAAGATTAAAGTTAAAATACCTCCTCGAGCTAAAAAGATGCATTAAAAATATAATATATTATTTTTTTTTCTACACAAAAATCTCACGTCTCTTGAGTCTCATTTAAGAACTGTTTACCTTTTTCCCGATTCAGGCTTCATCAGGACTACATATTTGTTTTGTTCTGTAACATTAAGAGAAAAAAATCGTTCAACCAATTCAAAATACTTCTAAATCTAAAGTAAGGGAGGAGAACACGATGAAAAAAAAAACGAAATTATTATCATTATATTTGCATCAGTTAATTTAATATTAATACGTACCGTCAAATAACATGTAATTTTAACGCTGATATGAATCTAAATTAAAAAAAGAAAAAAATCATACAGAATATTGTCTCATTTCTAACTCATGTTCAGTGAATCGATCGTCAGATACAAATTCTCTTAGGACCAGTTGTACAATTGGAGTTCAAGTCAAGTCACTAGCGGATCCAGGATTTAATTTTGGGGGAGGGGCTTCAGCCCGAAACCTTTTTTTTTCATAAAAATAACGATAATTACTTTGGAAAAAAAGAAAGAAACTAACTACCTATAAGAAATGGTGTTTAAGTTATTCCTTAAGTACTTTTAAATGTAATTACACGAACAATAATACTTTAAGAGGTATTTTTTAAATTTTTTTCCCATAAAACATGGTTATATTTTTCGATTTTGTGGGGGGCTTCAGCCCGAAAGCCTCCCCCGTAGATCCACCCGTGAGTCAAGTTCAAGCTTGAACTACAGTCAACCATGAAAATCATGAATGATTGACTGTAGTTCAAGTTTGACTGGCTCTTAATCTTAAACCTCGAACCCTTGCTCCTTGCAAATCCGTATTATTGTATGCTAAATGTTAACATTTTTTAGCAAAATTAGATCAGAGCTTTGCTTATTAGCTCAAGTCATATATTTTTCATCTTCTGTTTTATTAATGGATCTAGAAGTAAAATCAGTTTAATTTAAGAAATTAAGTTAAGCAATACATGTATAAAAGTACACATATTTCTATAAACTGTTGGATAACTTTCTATAAACATTAAAATTTATGATTAATGATTTATTCCGATAGAGACTCACTTTATTATCATAAAAGCGTGCTGACCAATTATATTGTGTTGCTTTAAACACAGCATACTTATTAATCGCTACAGACTAAATATAAAACTAATACCATTATATAGTATTAACAATATGTATGAGCATAGTATACATTTTTTTTTAATATATATATTTTTTTATTATAATTTTTTTTCCTCTATATATATATATATATATATATATATATATATATATATATATATATATTTATTTTTATTTTTTTAATTTTTACTATTTCTTTCATTCATTAATTAGAACAAAAAAAGGTACTAGTCTGATAGCAGGTCGGGACGAAACCTCCCTTGTTATCTAATGTTACATCACATAACCTCCCTTCTTATCTCGTGAACGCTGTGAGTTATTCCATTGTTTATTTTTGTTCCATTTGTGCGATTTTCGTCAAATTATGAATGTTATTACATTCTGGGAATTACCGTCTTCAGAAGAAGATGCTATAGAATATTTTTAAAACGCCGGGATAATTCCAAACGCGAAATTGTGTGAAGAAGGTCATCAAATAAAGTTAGACAAGGAGACGAAATGGAGATGCTTTCGTACCACTTGTAACAAAAACGTTTCTATAAGGAAAGGAACGTGGTTAGAGGGGTCGAGGATTTATGTTTTTAACGGCTTTAAAATTAATTTATGGGTGGTCCCATAATTTAACAAAGATAAAGTGGGTAAAATAACAGCTGAAACTATCCAAGGCAACTATGATATCGTGTAACAAATTTTTAAGAGAGGTTTGTGCCCATAACATACAGGTCAAGTAAACAAATTGGAGGGACTGGCAAAGTTTGAAGTAGACAAGTCTTTTTTCTAAAAGTGTTTTTTTTATTATTTCATTTTTCTTATTATTACATTTATTTTTGTCTATTTCACGGACGGATTTACGGGGGAGGGGGGCTTTTGGGCTGAAGCCTCCCCCCAAAATAGTAAAATATAACCATGTTTTATGGAAAAAATATATAAAAAATACCTCTTAAAGTATTATTGCTCGTGTAATTACGTTTAAAAGAAGTTAAGGAATCACTTAAACACCATTTCATATAGGTAGTTAGTTTCTTTCTGTTTTTCCAAAGTAATTATCGTTATTTTTATGAAAAAAAAGAAGCTTTCGGGCTGAAGCCCCTCCCCAAAATTAAATCCTGGATCCACTAGTGGTCTATTTCATATATGCGTTGTAAAATGAAAGTGTTTTGTTATTGTTGTGGGAATTATTACATTTCTTTTTGTCTATTTCAATTTCAAATCAAACTTTTTTGTTATTATTACATTTGTTTTTGTTTACTATTTCAATAATATGAATAGAATACAATAAATATGAATACGAAGATAGGAATTATCAGTGCCTTATCAAAATTATCAATGTTCAGGTTACAAACATTGGCATATAGCAGTCGGTCCCGTCCGGCTATCAGACAAGTACCCAAAAAAACATCATTATGACTTCATCGAAGTTCAATGACAGAAAATTTCAACTTAATCAGTAGCATTTCAAGAGGTGATTTAACATTATTATCATTTTTTTTTCAGAATAGCAGATACTTTAACAAATGTTGAATTAGATAGCTTGGATGATCCAACGGATAAAATACAGTCAAAACTTTTCACAAAATTCATCATATCTCTTGGGAAGAGAAAAATAGACAAAAGAAAAGGTCATTACTCCAGCCTTGCAAGCTTGTACAGATGTTTTTACTGCAAACAAATATTACACGAGGAGCATGGGCAATCTCTGCCCTGCATATCTGATCTTCTAGCAATTGATTCCTTCGGGGACATTAGAGGAAGACACAAGGAGTACGATATTTAGAAATTTTATCAATAAAAAGAAGTGAAAAACTCTTGAAAGAGTGAACAAAAATTTGTTAGGATATAATTAAGAGAATCCGAAAATAAATTATAAAGTCTCTTAAACACCAATAAATAATTAACTGGTCAAAGTTTTGCTCAGGATAGGAAAAGATAAAATTATATAAAAAATGAAAAAAAAGAAAGAAATTGTATTAAATTTAGAATTGTAGTGGTTATGAAAACAACCAAGAACATTAAGAATGGTAGGTTCTTCTTGGAGGATTGCAAAGCTTTAAAGCCAACTAACAAATAAACATTCAACTTTCGCAAGTTCAAAAGTCTTCAGTACTAAAATACATATCATATAAACGCATACACTAGCGAATTCAATCTTTTGAGCTTAATTCCCTTCCAAAAATCTAAAATTATTTTTTTTTCATTGGACTATTTTTCTTTCCATAAGAGATCTGTGCCAAATACTCCAGCTATGACAAGATGTTCTCATTCTGAATAAATTATAATCATGCACTATAATTTAAAGTATTTAAAAGTAATTTAAGTGCCCGCTAGTTCAGCTATTAAATGTATATAAAAACCTTTACCACTACAACCCATGAAGTGTCTTGGATTCAGTACTACTTAGGAACCAGACCAAGAGCCAAAAAATCGACCTCATCGCAAGATTGTATTTTAAGGTTTGATTGTAAATTACGAAAGTGTATGTTATTCTCAGTAAAAAGAACCTTGTCTGCCGCTCCAGAGCCGCTGATTTAAAAAATGGCGGCTGATTTAAAGAATATTAGGCCAGTAATTTGAGGATCGAAAGGGGGGAAATCCATTGCGAAAAATGTGAGAAAAGTTTTTATTTTTTTAACTTGTATACATGGGATTAGACGTGTAAAAAAAATTGCTAACGTGAGCCAACAAGGGAAAACTTTTAACAGCCAAATAAGTCTTTAATAACAGCCAGATTTTTTCGATATTTTTTTGTTTTTTCCTAAACGATGCATCAAAGCTAAAATTGTACTCCTTAATAAATTAAAGAAAGTTAAATACAAGTACATAAACTTAATAATTTGGTGAAGTGGTATGGTAAAAAACATATAGGAGTTATAGGAGAAAAAAAAATCTGACTTCTTTGGCTATAAAATGTTTTTTCTTGGTGGCCCGCGTTAGCAATTTTATTTTTTAAATGTCTAAATAATACAAATTAAAAACTTTTCTCACATTTTTCGCAATGTATTTCCCCCGTTTCGATCTTCAAATTACTGGTCTAATATTCTTTAAATCAGCCGCCATTTTTTAAAGCAGCGGCTTTGAAACGGCAGACTAGGTTTTTTTTTACTCAGAATAACAAACTTCCGTAATTTACAATCAAACCTTCGCCTGCGATGACGTCGATTTTTTGGGCCCTGGCTCCAGGGCTAGATGATTTGACCGAGATCACGCTCAACCGCCAGATTTTTCCCTTTAATCAATTATTTTAATTAAGGGTACCAACTTTATAAAGGCTGGTGTGCACCACCAAGAGGGTCTACCTACCCAGGGTCGCCCTACGGACAATGAAACAGAATAAATAATTTTTGCCATGAACCGGGAATCGAACCTGAGTCCTTTACCATTGGAAGTTCAGTACTGTACCATTAAGCTACCCCACTCCTTATATTAAATGTATATACGTGTCATTATAAAAATAATAATATTTTTATCTCTAAACCATTATCGTTCCCGTAGTTACAGTTTAAAAAAAGCCCTTCTCCCCCAAATTAAATCTTGAATCCGCTTCTGACTACACATCAGATGCAGCACACATCACATCACCATTTTGAAAAATACATAAACCGATTGATTATTTATTGCTGTTTAAGAAAATGAGATTTTTTTTTTCGGATCGTCAATTATATCCTAACATTTGATGTCATGAGAAACGAATTACAATTTGTTTTAAGGGTACTGCTATTGTTTTAGAGTAGAAAAATTCAATTTTTTTTTTTATACTACAGTATTTTTTTTAAATATTAAGATATGTGTCAGAACTCTCTAACCACTGGAATCGATTCTAATATTTACAACTAATGTGACGTCATCAATTTTTTTTTATATATACCGTGTGTGCGTGGGAGGAACGGGTCGAACACCACGGGGTTTCATACATGATAATAATAAAAAACTTCATATGGTCATATCCGATTTATATTTGTTTAAATTTTATTGGATAATTATAAATAAACATACTGCTTACATTTTCTACAACTTGAATTACAAGGACCATTAGAAGATGTTCCTCGATACATCAGAATGCAAATTCACTTTCAACACGACGGAGCTCCTGCTCATTCCGATTGTAAGGTGAGACAACATTTGGATGAAAGGCTTCCAGATCATTGGATTGATCGCGGTGGTCCAATCAGTTGGCCTTCAAGATTTCCAGACCCCACATTACTGGATTATTATTTATGGAGCTGGCCAGTGGTGCCCATCCCCTCGAAGGTCGATGGCGCAACGACCTACCTCTCCCTCTCCCAAGATATTTTATTCCTTACCTTTTCTCAAAAACAGAGGAAGGGAGAGTAGAATTTGAAAAATCGTACATCATACACAATTACACTTGCTGCTGTCTGCTCCATGTTTTCGCCTTACCCCTTATTCTGATACTTTTTATTCTGAAAATTCATGACCCAGTTGAAATTTCCCCCCCCTCGAAAATTCAAAAACTCATCGAAATATGCCTCCCTCAAACCAGTTGATGGCCATAAGACCCACTTCTGAGCACTCCTGGAGCTGGCTCAAATACGAAGTGTGCAAAGAAAAAGTAGACATTAATTCAACGTATTAAAAATGATGCAGGCATCATTAAAAGGAGATATGAAGCAATCAGGAGGAAAACAATCACCAGTCGAAGACGAAGTCGAAAATGTTTAGAACTCATTGGTAGTATTCTCTACTAAAATAAGACTTCGATAACCGAAATGATAATACGTGTATGAAATGTTGCTTATGTGTGATTTTTCTTTTTTACTTGTTACTAGCCAATAAAATTTAAACAAATGAAAATCGGACAAGAACATATGAGCTTTTTAAATTATTTTCCTGTGTCCAACCCACTCCTGGTGTTAGGCCAGTTCCTCCCGATTCACCTAAAATAAATATATTTATTATTAAGGATAAGCCATTCAATAATTCATTGAATTATTTAGAATTATAATAGTCTGATCTAGAGTTGTTTGTTATTAGTTGATCTATATCATGATTACAAAATTTGACAGAAAATTTCAGCTGACAAATATTAAGTTTTGAGTTAAAAAATGAAAAATAAATTCTTTTTTTTATTAAGAAACTATTTATATTAGAAATATTAAGGGGTTACAAGATCTTCAGCTAATAATATTAAACAAAAAATTTGAACACGTTCCTGGGATTGGATTTTTTTTTTTTTTTTATAGCCCCCTACCTATCATTTCAGGCATAAGGGGGAGTGTTGTTCTAGAGGTACAACCAAACCTACTCTAACCAGAGTGGGAGGATTGAGTTCCATTCTGTAGGCCCGCCACGAAATAAAATACCCCTTCCAGGCCGGATTCGAACCGGCGCACATGGGGGTGAGCGTAACATTTCTTGGACATCGGCTCTAAATTATTCGGAAATTGGAGTATATTGCTCAAATTTTGTCATTTGTGTTTTTGAGGGTATCGAATGTGAATTGAAGCCATTTGATCGACAAGATGCACGCATTAAAAATAAATTAATTCAACAGGGAATATTTTTTCTTTTTAAAAGTTATACGAGTACATATTTTCATATGTTATCGTATTATGTAAATTATAATGTAAATTAATTATGTTTCGTGCAAAGTAATAATCAATAATAATTGTTTGAAATTTCATAACAACTATGTGTATTTTTAAAAACCGCCGTTTCAGCAGTCTTAGAATTCACTAGAAGTACCTAATTCTGCCCAGAACATACCCAAAAAATACCGACGAACCCGCTCTAAATATAAAAAAAGATGGTTTTCATTTCTTCCCCTATTATTTCACATCAGGGCATTATTAATGCATTATTAATGGCAGCCCACCATGCAACGGCGTGGAAGTACAAGTACAAATTCTCTACACTTTCTACAGGAATACTGTTGCGTATTTGCCAAGAAAAATATATATACCTGTTAATAATGGTTAGGGTTTCTTTATGAAACAAACACAGACAATACAGAAACGTTTATTGTGGAAGAACACTACAAACATAGAAGCCATATCGAGGGAGTATACATTGTTGTGATCACTGACGTCACGTCTGACAGTGTTGCCAGTAACAGTGTTGTAGGTAGAATTTATAATAACAAATAACATCAATTAATTAATCCTAACAATTCCTTCGTTGGGTCTGCCTATCCTCCAGATGCCTGCTCCCGAAAAACAGTCAATGTAGCAATTAATACCACTGTTTGGTCTGTAATGCCTAGAAGTTTCAATATTGCAACATAAACTGTTTTGAGGTATTCTTTGACATGAGTATTTAAGTGCAGAAAAAGTACCCCATCCTGCCCAAAGCTTTGATATGTTCGAGTAAAAACATTGGTGAAGGTTTACGGGTTAAAAATTCATTGTTATTTTTATCTTATTTTTTTTCGTAAGGAAACCAACCAAATGTATAATAAAAAGTTCAAAAAACGATTTGCTAACAAATTAAACTTTTGAATTGTGCCTTAAAATTTAATTTAAACTAATTTTAAGTGATTATAGAGTTGCCATTTTTCGAAGATGATTAACATGTTTAAACATTTTCCAGAGACACTAGTTGGAATCTCAATTCCTACATGAAGCAGTTGAAAAGAGAGTTGAACACGTGGCAAAACGTTTACTGGAAGCTTTGGGGAACATGCCATTATTTACATTGTGTTAAATGCAAGATGAACTATCCAGTAGTTTCATCGATGAATTGCAGATATCATCCAAATGCAGCTCACTTCGGCGCACGATCTGATTCGAGTAACCTTCTAATACCTGTAGGTGTGTTCAGTTTCAGTAGGAGTGCTCATGTATAAACGATATTAAAAAACTTATTATTTATATATGACACTTTAACTCTACCGAGATAACTTTTAAATATACTAAATTCTAAACGGTATAGTGCATTTATGAGAATATAAATATGATTTAAATTAGGTATTGTTTTTAATGTTTAGATGTATAAAAATTTACCACTCAATAAGATCTTATGCAAATAAACCTCTTGATATAATGAAGTGGAAGTCTGCCTGCCCATAATTATGATATGATCTATAAATAAGTATGCTTAAACTTTTGGGCTTGGGTACAACTATTTAATTTAATTATGAAACAAAATTTGACAGGAATTTCAGTCAAGGTATTTTTATTGGATAAGCCTACGTTCCGAACCCAACCTGTGGACCATCCTCAGGGCTAAAAATTACAAAATATAAAATAGCATCAGTAAAATAATAAATATAAAAATTTAAGGGTAATAAGAGTGCAGGATAACAGTAATAAAAAGAATAAATAAGCAAGCTGATAATAACAAAAGTAAAGAATAAAATCAGCAAAATGATAAATGTATTTTTACATAACTCTCTCACATATTAACGTGTCTACATGAGGTTCATAGGGAATTTAATGCTATTTGAAACTGATTATAATGAATGTCTTCGAGAGGGGCATATATTTTGATTTTTGAGGGGAAAGCCGACGTAAACATATATTTCTTGTGAAATAAGCAAATATTCCCTAAGTCCTCACAGGTTGGAACTACATCAAAAAGCTATGTATAAAATTGATAGTAAATTGTATCTTCTTTAACTTTGTACATAATAATAATTTCGATAAAATGCATCGTTTCGGAGTCATGTCCAAAAAAAGTTCGGAAATTTTGCTGTTGTTTGCAATGGAAAATTTTGTTCGTGAACATCAAATTCAGATTCAGCATCTCAAAAAACATAATAAACTAGAGAGAAACCGACTATTTGAACTTTTTTCTCATCGAACTACCTTCCGACTGGCCTAATTTGATGAGTTAAGATTAATTCTCTTTTAGGAACATATTCTTGACATCATATCAAAATTTCAGCCGTATGTTATTCCATTAAATGAAACGTCAAATTTCGCATCTTTAATTTAAATTTTCACATAGAAAACAGGGGTGTCCAGAAGGGTTTCATGGCTCATATTGTGCCATCTAAACTTTTGAGAGGGCACATTTCGACCGGGTTATGAATTTTCTAATTGAAAAAATTCAAATCAAAAGACATATGAAAGCATTAAAAAGACTGCAGGATGTGTAATTGTAAATAAACTGCGAATTTTTTAATTATACTTTTGTTTGCACTGTTATTAAGAAGAGGATAGCAATAAAATATCTTGGGGAAGAGTGGGGGAAGGCTCATGCGCCATCGAGTTTGGGGGGAAATGGTCACCTCTGATCACTAGCGGATCCAGGATTTAATTTTGGGGGCCTCAGAAAAAAAAAGAAACTAACTAGTGTTTGGGTGATACTGATCACTTCAAGTGATACTTGAAGTCCTATTAGATATAATTATTTACAGGAACAGTAATACTTTAAGAGATAATTTTTTTTCCATAAAACAGGGTTGCATTTTACCATTGGAGGATGGAGGCTTCAGTCCGAAAGCCCTCCCCGTAGATCTGTCTTTGCCACTGATAGAAAGCAGCGGCCTTCAACCAACTGACCGAAGTTGGTGTGTTCAGATGAGATTTATCGAGAATTTAAAATGGTTACTAGCATTAAGTCCTTCCGATAAATGAAATGGTCGGTAGCTCCTAGTCTATAACGTGACTGTTATTGTTGATGCTGTACACTGTTTTTGTCATTTTCAAAAACTCCTATTTTAAAAGAATGGATACAAAAAGCTTGAGCTGCATCTTTTTTTTTTTGCACAGTTGTATAAGCTTTTTTTGTTTTGTTTTTTTAAAGAAAAAGGTATTCGTTTGCTTTATAAATAGATTTGTTTGGTCATCTTACTGTTAGCATGTTTCCGGAGATATTCCCATTTATTAATTGTAATTAGTGCTGATTATTCTCCCCGATCTCCCTGCACTGATAGCAGAATGGCCTTCCAATGCCACTTCAAGCACAGAACCTTTTCAAGCCAATGAAGTATGAATATTTTAAGCATGGTCCCTCGACGCAAGCTTACGTTACTGTATATGATAAAAACAAGCTTCCAAACGTTTTTCAGTTACTGACTCCAATGTGATGCTTCCTAGCCAATACTTTCTTATTTCAAAAATTGAAGAACATTTAATTCTGATTCCGAAAATGTTATGGTCGAATTTTTACCTCCTTGCCCAAAATATCGAATATTTGCCTCCGAACCCATGTACCATGTTTTAAATTAAAAGCTTATTAACTCCCAAAACGCAAAATTTGGTGTTATAGAACTTAGGATAAGTTATTGAACAGTTTAGTTTCTATGGTACTGTCGCCAATTCCTAGACAGTCAGCGTACTGGAGCTTTCAGCCACGACTGTCATTCTCCCTTGGTCATAACTAGATTCTTGGTCTAGCACATATATTTGCCTCTACTCTTACACTAATGCTCGACTTTAGCGGGCATGTTGGCCGAGCGTGTTAAAGCGTTGGCCGCTTTACCTTTTTTGAGTCTAGGGGTGCCGGTTCGAATACGGCCTAGGGGGATAAAATAGGTGATTAGAATAGGTCAGGGGTTACCTCTAGAACACCCCCTGCCTTCTTAAACCAGAGATAGTCAGACATGGAGTAAAGGAAAAAAATATTCGACATATTCTGGATATGACATTCTTGGGCCTCCTCATGGCCTTCTACCAACAGCGACATTATCCATCGTTTTCAATAGATCCCTGATCTTAAGTTCCTTCCTAATCGTCTCATCATGGATGCGATCTCTTCTTGTTTTTTCCGCATTTTATGGCAGAAATTTCATTTCTACAGTTCTAACTCTGCCTTCCCCCTACAGTCTTTTATTTAATACACAACTTTCATCACAATAACAGATATACATAAGGAAGTGCCAAAATCTCGGAAAAGAAAACAAGGATCAGTATCCATTATATGGTAAAACGAATATATAGTAGGCAGATGAACAGAATGGATATAATGGATACTGATCCTTGTTTTCTTTTCGGAGATTTTGGCACTTCCTTTCTCGTTCGCTTTATGTATTTTTTCAATTTTGTGTTTTCCTTCATTTTGAGACCATGTACTAGCAATATACTAGCAATAATATATACTACTGGTACTAACAATTAATGGTACCGGTTACCTAAAACAACTTATGGCTTCACCCTTTCCATTTTTCTTTTTGAAGAGAGAATAATGTATTTAATTCCAAAAGTTCTTATTTTTTTATGATATGATCCAACTTTCGAACAAAATAACGGAAATAAAAATTAATTTTTTATTAGTGATATATAAATTTTACTAAACAACCTGGCAACTATTCATTATATGTAGTTCAAATTAGGTATAGTTGTAGATATTAGTACATTTTGTATTAAGTTATTTTTTTATTAGTTAGCCTATTGTTTATAAATTTTTTAGTTATGTATATGAACATGTAATTTTGTTGTAGTTGTTTTTTCTTTCATCACAATAATAAGTACTTTTGAGAAGATTTTATATTCATTTATTTTTTTGTTCATTTTTTAGTCGTTACATACTATTTTTTTAATTAATTTATATAATGTCTGAATTGTTATGAGTTAGTTTTTGGATAGATTTGTATTTTATTTTGTATTAATTCATCATTGTTATTCTAAGGGGACTTGGTCCCCTAGTCAGAATTAAGTTCAATAAGTCAGAAATAAAGTTCAATTTTCTATTATATATATTATTTTGGTTTATAAAACTGGTATTAATATGACTCATTTCCGTGGAAGTATATACAATTTAAATTACCTCTAAGAATCAGTAAATATACTAAACAAAGTGTTAAATAAAAAAATCAAGATATTCAGCAAAGTATTTTTGAATTAAGTTTTATTATTATAATTATATCATTTTTACAATAGAGGCCTTCTTAAATGACCTCCGTATAGAATAAAGGAAGTAGTAAATTTAAAAAATAATAAATTAAAAAAAAATTGTTTAATTTTTTTGACAATTAAATTATTGTATTAATATTTTTTCGTTAATACAATCAATATAATGTACCAAAAACGTTATTATAGCACTATAACTAAGCCATTTATGAGTACTGAATGGTGTGGTAGAGGCCTGTAGGCACCTACGCCAGTACCGCTTTTCTGCCGCTTAAGTGCATTTTCTACGGAACTGCTTCAAATATTTTAAAAAGTAATCAGTGTTTTAGAAAGAGAAATATATTCTCCAGATGTTTTATTTCAGCACGTTTTGCGTTATTGTTGGCCGTTTAATTACAAACGACGCTTGATTTTCAACTTGAAATTTTTTGTTAAAAAAATTGACTTTACTGTGTTTTTTATTGCCTAAGCCAATTATTTTTAATATTTTTCATGTTTTATTATTCTTGACTATCCAGCTTTAATAAAAGACCAACTATGACGAAATTAAGCCAAATGCTGATTCTCAGTGACCAAAAAACTAACTAAAGTCAAAGTCGTCAGTCCGCCATGTTTGGACGCCATTTTGGGGCAGTGCGTTCACTTTTTGAACACAACGATATGTAATTTATAGTGATGTGGTGGGGGGAGGGATGCACGGTTGTGGGTTCTGGCCCACATACTTATGCCATCTCTCAAAACTCACTTGATGTAGTTTCGTCACCACTTTTCTTTAACGATAATTATCTTTATGAATATGTATTCTATTTAATGCATACATGCGATTTTATAGTTATAACCTACAAGAGTCACGACTAAAACGGATAAGCGATTTTACTGTTTATTAATGCAATAATACTGAAGAAATTTTTGTTACAGGTAACTACGTTTGCTGTGGAGCTAAAACTTACCGATTTGACGTATTGGGTCTGCCCAACGTAAGTCTTTAATGAATACTATTTTATATCATATTATTATACCGATTAATATATATTGACAGTATATACAATATATATCGACAACTCAAGAACAAAAGAACAGCAAAAGCTAACATTTAGCCAACTTCAGGATTATGATTGTAGTTATACTAGAGGGCCCATGCGAAATTAGCACTTGAAAAATTTAGTAAAATAATTAAAAAGAAATGCCCAAAAACACAAATCATTTTATTGAATAACGCAGTAAAATACCAACGTATAGTGAAAGAAATATACAAAGACGTAGTTTAAAATACATGAATATCACAACAAAAGGGTAAAGAATTCATGGTATTGAATAAAAGACCTAAGTCTTTATCTATTCATATATAAATTTTTTACATGTATAAATGATTTTCTATATGATTTAATGAAGTTGGCTAAATTTATCCTAGAGCAACGCATTCATTTATATTCAGTATGCTTCATTTTACTTTTGTCATTTATTTTTCTTAGAATAAGTTATTCTATACTAATTTGCCTACTATTAAAACAAAATCAAATAATTTTAGGGTTGTATGGTAAAATCACATGTCCCACTGGAAAACGAAAATACTAGCCTATTAGTTTCTATATTAGAAAGTAAGAGAAGGATTATATTTGACAGCAGTCAGGTGCTCTGTGCCCAAGAAAAAAAAATTGAGGAAGTTAAAGGTGAGATTAGCATGAAGTAGTATCAAAATATAATGAACGGTTAAATTGTAAGAAAAAAGAAAAGAAAAAAAAAGTAAAACTATAATATACAGTATTAACCACACAATTTTCACTACACTATCACTCTCCCAAAATACAAAGTAGAATAATATTAGCAAATAAATGAATTAGGTTCACCACATTTAATATTTTTTTCATAGTTTATTAGAAACCGGATTTAATTGCAGGTTTTTGGCTTAAATTGCACGATTTTGATTTTTTGTTACATTAAATTGCACATGTTTGCACTTTCTTGATGGATTAGAACATTTATAAATAAAAATGTTTTTGTTTATTCCTGTTGGCATTAGAGACCATGTAGATCTTTTGACGCCTTAACAAGCCTGTTCCATCTCTGCCTGTCTTGGATTATATCTTTCCATTCATCTGCACTCAGCTCTATTGGAGGACCTCAAACCAAGAAAAACATTTCCTCTGAAGGTATGTCCGCAAACGCTTTGTTTAGGAGATTTAAAAATTGCCTACTATTCACAACAACATTTAACATGAATTTAATGTTTAAGTCTAATTAATAAAGTAGTTGGAACAAATAAATAAGTTTTATTTACTTAATATAACGTAAATAATTCATAACAATGAAAATCTTTAGGTGTGAATATCTCCTAAACAAAGCGTTTGCGGACATACCTTCATCGGAATTTTTTTTTTCTTGTTTTGAGGTCCTTAATTCATATTTTCTGTTTGGCCACTTAATCCTGAAACACGCTGTATAAATAAATACCTAAACATATAAATAAATACAAATACAAATGTATAAGTGTGTGTTAATATTTATCTCATTATTTTTAATATATTTCTCAAATCTAATTCATTCAAGATAGAAAAATATGAGGAAGACAAATAATTCGGTGTAAAAATCGAATTTAACATTACAGGATTCCACTTAGACAAGCGTCTAACTTGGGATCCTGATACCAGACTGAAACCACAAGAAACCGCTGGACGTTTCCGGCTACTCCAGCACTTACTAGACAAACGCTCTAAGCTTCCAGTTAATTACAAAAGGCTCATATATGTGACAATAAGACCTATTTGGAATTACGGAGTTGAGCTTTGGAGCTCTACTAAGCCATCGAATTCCTCTTGTATCCAATCCTTACTATCCAAAATTCTTCTTAAAATCCTCAATGTTCCTTACTTTGTCACAAATAAAATCATCCATAACGACTTTAATGTTCCTTATGTTTCTGACCTGGCCCAAGAAATACCTATTTCCAGATACCTGTCCTTCCATAACAAACTTCAGAACCATTCAAACCCTCTCGTATCTAATCTTGCTTTCTCCTCCATCCCTGATAACCCTCCCAGGGGATCTCCTAATTTAGATACTTTTTTAGAGTGGCACCAGTGGGTAATTTCTCAACAAGTGGTTTCATGTTATTATATTCTTGTGTTCACATTTACTGATGAATGTATTTTTATTTCTGATATGGTTGTAAATATCATAAATAATAACTGTGGATAAATGGTTGACTGTCGTGAATAATGAAGAGAAGAATAGTTGGGATGATCAGTCAAATAAAAAGGCAAAAATAAATGATAATATTTATTTTGACATTTGCTATATTATCATTTATTTTTCTTATTTCTTATTCTGCCTTCTTGTTTGACTGATCACCCCAAGTATTCTTCTCTTCATCATAAATAATAATAATAAAAAAAACATTACAAAAGGAAGAAGCAAACACAAGTGAGAAATATTCTTGTAACAGAACTTGCCTAAAGTATTGGATAATAAAAAGCTATTTTCCTAGAATAAGCTATTTTGTTAGTAAGTCGTTTATTTTTATTGTTTTCACTTGAATATTCACTCGCTCAGCCCTTCTGGCTTTGAATTTATTTGTAGTAATTTCATTATTATAAACAAAAAATTAAGTTTTCATTATTATTTTTAATAAAAGTTAAAAATCTAAAATTGGTCTGGTTTATAATATATATAGGTACCTGTAATTTCTTCCTTCAAACCTTCAATGTTCTGCATTATCTCATTCCTTTTTATGTCAGACAATTAACCAATTAACCAATTTAAGGACAATTCAAACAAACATATTCGATTATTTGTCTGTTACTTATTGAGATCTTATTCTGCAAAGAGAAAAATTAATAGATGTTTCATCCAAGTGTTTTTTTGTTGTTAAATGATAAAAAATAGTATTAGCTCAATGTTAGGTTCAGTAATCCTTATTATAGTTTAAATTTCTCTTTCTTTTAGATTTAGGTTAATCGTAATTTATTTTAGAATTATATTACATATTGTAATCGTTTGTTGATAATAATCTGAAATTTTATTTCCAATGTAATATTTTAATTTTTTTTTTTTATCTCATGTTTAATTGAAGATTTGATAAGATTTCGATGTATTAATATTATAAATTAAACAATTCTGATGGTTGTGCACGTTTTTAAGTGTTAATTAGAAAATGTTTACGTATTTTGGGTTTTCACTGCACAGTTTTGCACATTTTGAGCTTTTTACTGCTCGTGGTTATATTTATTATTGTTGTTATATAGTTGCAGTTATAGTTATAATTTTATGAACTGCACTGAATTATAACAAACACAATAACAGATTTATATACATATTTCAATAGCCATAAAAATATTGATCAATATATTATATATTGAATATTATCATCATATAGAACAGACCATGCCAACCCATGTTACATTGTGCAGCCTTCCAGCTGATTTTTTACATTTATTTATAATCTATTTCTATTTTTCCAGTGTAAATATTTTAATATTTACAGTTCAATATTTCATTCTCATTAAATACAATTTTATTTTCAGAAATGCATGGAACTATGGTTGGGTGTAGTTCTACATGGAGACCGCTGTCTCGAGGAAATTATATTGATAAAGTATATTCTTTTAATGATATTTTAAATGCATTAGATGAACGGGAATCTGATGGTGGTAAGCAATCATTTAAAATAATTAATGTAGTAAATTTATGAAATGCTAATGATATTTAGTCTTTTTAGTAACTGTTGGTGCAAGATATATTTTTTTTTTTTGGACTTTCACTAGCTTAATTGGTGTCAGAAACTTGTGGAATGCTAGGCGGTATAAGGAAATAGACATCTTTTATTGGTCTAATTCATCGAAAAGACCTCTAATCATTGAAATATATTAATGCAAAAATTTTACTTATTAAAATAAAGCTAAACTCTTTTATGAGTTTCATCATTTTGAGAATATAGCTGAAATATGTACGTACCACAATACTAAGGGTTCATTTTTTTTTTTTTTTTTTTTGGAAATTTGAATTTGAAAAATATAATGAGACTTATTAATAATAAACTGTTTTTTATTTATAAAATAATATCATAACACATCTGTTATCACTACAACTCACGAAATGTGTAGGGTTCAATGCTTTTTAAATAGTACTATTCTTGATCAACATTTGTACAAACAACCGTTTGTGTGTTAAATACCAAATGATTTAACCGAAATCATGCTTAATCATCAGGTTTTCCCCTTCATTAACTAAGAGAACTCACTTTATAGAGATTGAGTGTGCCCTAAGATGTTATACCTTCCCCAATCAATCTATGGCTAATTAACGATCGTTTATTCAATGTTAACAAATTTTATAAGAGTGAAATTAAGTATATTTAATGTATATTTTATTTATAATAAATTTGAATAATGTTGAACAGATATTGAGTATGATGCAAACTGTACAAGATCACCAATAGATGATATGGATAACGCCAGTTCTGAAAGTGAATTCAATGACATTGCTAGTATAGGAGATGGTGAGGATACAGACGGTTCATCTTCCTCTAAAAAATATTCTCCCCAGAACAAAAGGTAAAATAATAATTTGAGATGATATATACTTTTCCTATAAACATAATAATTTCAATTTTGATTTGTTTTTATAGTGAAAATAATACTAAATTATGGACAATGCATCGATCTATAAGATTCAATCAGGACAATCAGAGAGAAAGAGAAGAGAAGATCATTAAATGTATTATTAATAAGTTAAACCGCTCAAAAAATGATAGCGAGTTTGATATATTTCTGGCCAACAATGGTTATGACCCATACCATAGCTCAGATGGTAATTTTTTAAAACAAATATATGTTATAGCAAAGTTATGAATTCATCAATCTAAAAAAAAAAATTAAATTTCTAATTCTTATAAATTAAAATAAAGCTTTAATTTTGTATTATATTTATTATTATTATTATTTTAGGTGGAGTCTATGCATTTCTGGAAGAAGAATGGAGGGATGAAACAGTGCAACCAGAATTGAACAACCCATGTTTTGCACCATCAAGGTCTCCCAAACCAAGAACTACAAAATATACATATAACTAGTGAAATGGAGTTCACAGCATAATTAATAAGTTGCCAAATTCTAATGTGTTCAAGAATTATCTATAATAATAATATGAAATTAATTTTTAAAAAAAGTAAGGTATAATTTTTAAGTTTTATTTTGTAAACAATTAAATAATTTGAAAAGAACTGAAACATTGTTTGTTCCTAAACCAATATAACTAAATAATCCCTAAAAGTTCAAGTATAAACCTCTAGTAAACATCTTGAAAAAAAATCAGATGTCAGGAGTCAAATTTAAAAATTCCATACATCAATGACATAATTCAGATACTTCCATTTTATGGGCTGAAAATTTTGAATTAGAGTTTTAAAAAAATTTTACAGCTAACTATCAAAAATATTCATGCCCCTCAAAACAAGAGGAATATTTATGTACAAGATAAAAAATTAAATGTCTAGAACAGAGGATGATATGGTGTCCGAGAAATGTCAATGCAAAGGTACAGAAAGACAGATGATCAATAAATACAAGTTATTTACAAATATGTACCTGCCTTTAATCATAATTTGACTACTTTCAAATTCTATACGTACTAGTTAGGCACCTGAATGAAATTTTAGTTAAATGGCCCGAACTGTGGTATTGAACTTTGGAAAAGTGGAAACTTCCTTAATCTTTTAGTGGTGATGAGCAGGAAGAGAGGTGTAGCATTGAGGACAGCATTAGCTAATAGTTCTCCATGCCCTGGAGACAGAATAATTTACATCACCTCCTCTCAACACTTTAGCTGTTTTATTTAGAGAAGTGTTCCAAACTTTTTTATTTTGTTTTTTTATCTAAATTTAATACAATTGATAGCAAGGTCACAGGATAATTTGAAAATATAATTTATCACTGAACATCCTATCATTTAAAAATAAAGATCCTGACAGGCTTTCAACTCATATATGAGTATAATGTCGTCTGTGCCCAATTCTTTTTCGACTCACAATTAATCCACTATCGTAAAAGAATTAAACATAGCAGATTTAGTAATCCCAGGGAATAGCTACAGGTCCGTTAATCCATAAAAATTTAATTTTTGTAATCACTGTTAAAATGCAGAGTATAGATAATTACTTTGAACCCAGCTCGTTCAAAATTTAGATTGAAATAAAAAGAACACAGTGAATAACAAATTAATAATTGGTTGAAAAGAAGTTTATAGTTGGTTTGAATTGTATTCAAAACAATAATATCTCAATATACAAGATTTACTTTTATTATCTGAGTGCAAGGAATCTTTAAAATTAAATAAAGTTCTATCAGAATAATTATTATTGCCTCCACATTGCATCATTCCCATCCATTAATATAACCAGACAGGTAATTGGGATTTGCTGTTTTTCCTTTCTTTTCTTATACCAATCCTCAAAAGATTATAATGAAATTAAAAATATTCCATGCACTCTAATATGCTGGAAAAAAATAATACATACCACAGTTGTATTTACACACCAAAATTCAAGTAATATTTTGAATGAGGTGGCATAAACAATAGGTCTCAAGAAGCATATTTGTCTCTTGAATCATGAGAAAAATTCCCTTAAAATTTAATTTAAAATTATGAAAACCTTTAAGACTGAATCTCTACAAGTAAGTTTTTCTAAAACTGGAAACATTAACTTTAAAAAGTTAATGTAATTTATATGTAAGCAAGAGGCATCCTTATCCATAAATTCTTACCCCATTCCCCAATTCCTTCCATTCCAACTGACACCATTCAATCAACCTCGGTAATCCTTTCAACTCAGGGCGAGTTGGGCTTCCATCACACATTCTCAGCTTTATACTGTACTCCTGGTAATTCCCTCTCCTATAACCTTCTTGATTCGTTATTCCAATGCCCCGGACCACGGTTTATTGCTGGAGGAGACTACAATGCAAAACACCAACAATGGGGTTGTCGAACATCCAACTCCTGTGGTAACATCCTATCTCATGTCTCATCTTCCAATAATTATTCTATCCTCTCACCCATGAATCCTATCTATTGGCCAACATTCTGATATTCTGGACATATTTGTTACCTCCTAGTTTTCCTCTGCCCATGTCACAATCAAATCCCTGGATGACCTTTCCTCAGATCATAGTCCAGTTCTGCTTTCATTACACTCAATCATCGCTTCGAAGCCCTCCTCCCCTCCTACTTTGATTAAAGGACAAGTAGACTGGGAAAACTTTCGTGATGATTTGAAAAACAAACTAGACTTGAAAATTCCGCTGAAGACAAGACAAGACATTGACAAAGCCATAGAAAAACTTAACACACCAATAGCAATCAGTATAAATGATAATACATCTACCAATAAAAACAAAAACGTACGACATATTAACTTGCCACAACATATTCAAATCTTATTAAGGGAAAAATGCAAGATCGAAGTGGCAAAGGACCAGATATTCTACAGATAAAACTCACTATAACAAATTAACTAACAAACTAAAAGTAAAAATCGTAAAATTTAAAGCTCAAAAATTATTTAACCTAACTGAAAATCTTACAACTACTGACAAATCACTATGGATGACTTCTAAAAAACTCCTGAAGTTTAAAAACTTTAATCATCCACTTCTTACAGAAGTTCAAACCTGGAACAAATTTGACAAAGAGAAATATCTCTTCAAAACCTTCAATCCACACCCTGATATCATTAATGCATTCACTTTGAGTGTATTGAAGCAGAATTGGATATTCCTCTCCAAATGATTCCTCCGCCTAAAGCATTTCATCCTTCAGAAAGTCAATATCATTCACAGATTACCCTTCCGCAAAGCTCCTAGCCACGACCTAATCACACCCCAGATCTTAAAACTGCTTCCTTGGAAAGCCATCCTGTTAGTTACCTGCATATATAATGCTGTACTCCGATCCACATATTTTACTGACCCCTAAAACTATCTATTGTTAAAATGATACACAAACCCAAAAAACCAACCAACACCCATCCTCTTACCATCCTATCTCTCTTTTACCTATCATGGGCAAAATCCTGGAAAACTCATCCTAAAATGCCTGTACCCTATTCTAGATTCTAATAATATAATCCCTGATCACCAATTTGGATTCCGCACTTCCCATTCCACTATCCAGCAATGCAATCGTGTGTTAGACGTAGTATCCTTTGCATTGGAGCGCATAATGTACTGCACGGGAGTCTTTCTCGACGTTGAGCAAGCGTTTCATAGAGTCTGGCACCTGGGACTGCTGTACAAACTCTGAAAATTCATACCACCTACATACTTCCTCATTATTCGTTCCTACCTTACTAATAGATACTTCAAAGTAAATCACTACAATGCCTATTCATCCCTCTTTTTCAGTCTGCTGGTGTGCCTCAAGGTAGTATCCAAGGTCCTATTCCTATTCTTTACACAGTCTATACAGCTGATATCCCAACCCATCCAAACACTATTATTACAACCTATGCCGATGACACATGTGTCCTATCAGTTCATAACGACCCAACAATTGAACCCCAAACCCTTTAATCCCACATCACAAACCTTGAAGAATAGTGTCAAAACTGGAGAATTAAAATAAATTCCATCAAATTACCTTTACCCTTCATCATAAACCTATGACTTCCTGTCCTACAGTATCCTTTAATAATAACCCACTTATCCCTGTTGAACAAATCCGATACCTAGGACTCCACCTGGACAAACGTCTAACTTGGAATCTTCATACCAGACTGGAACAAGAAACCGCTTGACGCTTCCGACTACTTACTGACCTTTCAGTTAATTACAAAAGATTCATATACATGACCATAATAAGGACTACTTGGACTTACAGAGTTGAGCTTTGGGGCTCCACTAAACCATCGAATTCCTCTCGTATCCAATCTTTACAATCCAAAATCCTTCATAAAATCTTTGATGCTCCTTACTTTATAACAAATAAAATAATCCATAATGACCTGAATGTTCCATATGTTTCCGATTTGGCCCAATCCAGATATCTATCCTTTCATAATAAACTTCAGAACTATCCTAATAATTTTGTTTCTAACCTTCCTCCTCGATCCCTTATAACCCTCCCAGGTGTCTGAAAAGAAGATGGTCTCGTGATCTCCTAATTTAGAAACTTTATTAGAGCACTAACAATGGGTAGAATATCTACAAGTCTTGTCATGTCATGTATTTCTCTGTATTTCATTTGCTACCCTGACGGCGCTTTGGATAGATGGCAAGAGTGCTTGCAGAGCTTGGCTGTGGCGGTTGTGTGTTTGCGACTGCTCGCTATACGACACCAGTGTTCAGCTGGTCGTGACTTAATTCAGGCCAGTCATCTGGTTTAGTGTATAGATGAGCAGATGAAAGCTATGAGAGTAGGGTGATGGCCTTCTCCATGAGCACCGGTCGTGAGCTTGCATTCTATTAAGGTACTATTTCGCTGGCGCGGTCCAGGACCGCGACTGCTCGCGGTTGACCACTGCTGTAGTGGAATAAAAAGGAACCTATTTCGCTGGCGCTGCTCGGCAGTCTAGGTATGACGTCATATCTAAGCTGCTCGTATTTGACTCCTCTTGAAGCAGTGGAGCTGTTGGCGGTTCGGCGGTTGTAGGTTATGTTATCATATCAGGGCATTGTTTTGATGATAACAGTCACGTCGATACGTTTTATTTCCTATGTTTCTTTCAAGTCTGGCAAAATTATAACAAATATCGTTTAAAACTGAAACAATGCAATAGTAAATTATTTTTTTAAGGTTGAAGTAACAAGATTATTTATTTATTTATTCCACCAGCAATATTTTAAACGAAATACAGATATACCTAAATCCAAACGATATTAAATGAATTAAAGAATCCAACAAATTTTATTGTCAGGTAAATACTAAAATCCACATATTGAAAAATCGATTTGTATTTTTTATATAAAGTGGTGATTTACTGATTACTATTGATAAAACTATAAAACATCGCCTGCTGGGATTTAATTACATATATATGATATTTTTTACTAATCAATTATGTATTAATTACTATTACTTTTCAAACTAATAATATCTAATATCAGAGGGACTTTGATGATGAACATCACATCGAAATACTGATATTCCTTCTCTTTATGAACAACATTTTCTATTCTTTTTTCAACTCAAATAAAAAAGCGGTAGTCAGAGAAGTTTATTATTATAGGATGTTCATTTTTATTATTATATTATGTCCATCTTTTTATTTTCGAAGATACAGCGAAATGTTCGAAGGTTATAGGCAGGTTATAACAACCCCAGTGAGCAGTTTCAGCGAAATAGCTACTCCAACAGCGGTTGGCAGCGTGGAATAGCGGTCGCTGTCGTGGACCGCGCCAGCGAAATAGTACCTTTACCTGTCCTGGCTGTGAGCCTAGGTTGGGATCGGTTAAGACCTTTGGGTTAGGAACGATCCCCAGCCAGTGCCCGCACTCCATAGTATAGGTGTAATCGCGCTGTATCACATTTGCTGAATGTATATAAATTGGTACAGTTGTAAATTTCATAAATAATAATAAAAAAAGCAAGAGGCATTACGGATTCCATAAAAAAATCATCCCACTGTACTTAAATGTTTAAAAAAGTTACTAAATTACTGAATTTACCTCTTGCCCCTCCTCAATAGGAAGAAAACTCAATAAATTCATCAAAACGTTTTTTCTTTTCAGCATTCATGTACTAAAAAAGATTTAGGAGGAGAGACTTTCAACTGCCATTTTATAACAAAAAATTGTTTGTTTTTTTTAGTATAATAAGCAAAGAGTTTTAAAATTGTTTTATTTAATCCATCTGATTTTAGTAGAATGATGAAAAAATAATATAAATCAACATTCTGAACTGTGATATTTGATAAAATTTACTATAACAATGTTGTCCAATATAAGAAATAAAAATAGATAGAAAAAACAGTTGGTACGTATACAAACTTCCATACAAAAAAAAAATCCCATTTGACCATATCAATAGATCGATTAAATACAACAATAATTTTATATACATCTATTAACAACAATTTATCTCATCAGTTGAGAATAAATATACATCGTAATAAATAAAGTAACAATGTCAACTAATTTCGTAGCTTTCTTTATTTTCTGTACCACATCTGAAAGGAATTCATCTTTTTAATCTTCTTTTGTAGTTGAAGAACACCATAGAGGAGGGCTTCAGCTGTAGGTGGACATCCTTTCAAAAAATTTAATAATTGAAATTAGCTTTTACAGTAAATAATAAAAATGATACTCAACAAAACAAAAATTGAATTAATTTATTACAGGATATTATTTAATACTGTTATAAATAATATTATATGCATGAACATAATATTAGAATTCAATTATTGATTAAGTGAATGTAATTGATTTATGTAATGTAACATATATTGGGTTAGCTGGAAAATAATGCAGAATTTTGGTTTAAAAAGAAAAAAAGAAAGATTTACAACTGTTTTATTTAATCAAAATAGTCTCCACAACTATCAAATCATTTCTGCCAACATGTTGGCAACTTTTCCATTCCCTCGGAATAGAATTTCCCATCTTTAGAATTGATAAACTCCAAAAACGCATTTTCTAATTACCTTTGTCCATTAATTTTTTTGTCATGTAAGTAGTGGTCCAGGTGTCTAAAAAAATGATAATCCCATATAATCCCCCCTTCCAATTGACCAAAGATGGCTTCATAATGGCCAATTTCTGATACATTGCATTAATTTGGTTACAATACGATTCGCCATTGATGATTTATTCAGGATATAAGAAGCTGTACTGTATCAAAACAAGCCCACCAAACAGTAACCATCACCTTTTTTTGATGAGTTGGAGGCTTTGGAAAATGTTCTGCTGCTTCTCCTTTGTCGAGCCACTGTCCAGAACATCTAATGTTATCGTAAAGTATCCACTTTCATCAAAGTAACAATTCTGGACAGAAAAGGGCCTTTTTTTGTTTCAGCAAAGAAGTGCAGCACAAACTTCATAAGGCAGGTTTATTTGGCAGTCGTTTAAGGTGTGTGGAATCCAACTTTTTCCTTTTTCCAAGTTTTTTTACCTTTCCAATCACCTCAGGGTGGTCATCGACGGTCGATTTGCTAAGATCAAGTTTCCCTACAAGTTCTCGAACAGTTTTTCTAGGGTTTTCTACCAGCAAAGCCCGCAGAACATCGCCATGAAGAGAGGAAATCCTTCCACGACCTTCTTTGTATTCAAGGCTGAAGTCTCCCTCCCGAAATTTTTTTAATCACCGCTGAACAATGCACACATTAATGCTGCTCTTGCCACAGACTTAATAGATATTTCTGGCCGTCTGGGTCCCGTTCCGGCTGAGTTTAATCTCGTAACACAAAATTATAAAAATCTCGCATTGACATCTAAGTAAAGGATAAATTATTTCTAAGCAGCGAAATGCTACAGAGGTAAACAAACATTATCATTTATTAGTGTTGACATTCAAACAAATGAATAATCCAGTAAACGTAAACAGTTTGTTATAAAGAGTGGTATTTTAAAGAAAACTCAAAATCCTGCATTATTTTCTGAACAACCCACCCAATACCGTATATTAAAACAAACCTTGAAAGCCTGAAGAAATTTTTAATTCTTGCAAATCTTGCATACTAAATAATAATATTACATAAAATTTTAATTTAAATTAAATTAAAATAATTATTTCAAATATATGCCAACCACAAAATAATTAAGTATTATGATTGATGATTATGTTGAGTTATGATTTTCTTTAAAACATTGGAAATTTGGAATGCCAATTTCAAAAAGTTTTCATTTCATATTAGTAACCATCTTGCTCAATAAAAAAATTTCAATTTAAAATTTAAATAAAGATGTATTACCTGGGACATAAATATCCACAGGAATTATTCTGTCACAACCACGTACAACTGAGTAAGAATAATGGTAGTAACCACCACCATTTGCGCAGCTTCCCATAGATATAACCCATCTGGGTTCAGGCATCTAGTGATAAATGTATTCAATCAATAAAATGATAATGATGACAAGAAAAAACATGGGAATCAAATTTTGAAGAAAAACAAACAAATATTACAACAGATATATAATTGACAAGTATTTATAATAATTACCTGGTCATAAATTTTTCTTAAAGCTGGAGCCATCTTATTAGTAAGTGTTCCTGCAACAATAATAACATCAGCTTGTCTAGGTGAGGCCCTGAATACAACACCATATCGATCCATATCATATCTCGGAGCTGCAATGTGCATCATTTCAACAGCACAACAAGCTAGACCAAATGTTAGAGGCCAAATTGAACCCTTTAAACATTGGAAAAATTATTCTACAGGGTGTTTCAGGGTTAAGTGGCCAAACTGCAAAAATGAACTAAGGACCTCAAAACAAGAAAAAAAATTCCTCTGAAGTTACGTCCGCAAATGCTTTGTTTAGGAGATATTCACACCTAAAGATTTTTGTTATTATGAATTATTTATGTTATATGAAATAAATAAAACCTATTTATTTGCTTTAACTATTTTATTAATTTAATGTAAACATTAACATTCATACTGAATTTTGTTCGAAGTTATTTCCTTGAGCATTAAGACAGGCTTGGCATCTTTCTTCAATAGCAGCAGTGGCAGAACAGTACCAGATATGTGTTATTGTTTCACAAGATTTCATTATCCTTCTTCGTAACGAATTAAGGTCATTGACCGGACTTGCTCAATCATATCCCACATCCCAATCAATGGATATCAAAGGAGCAGTGGCTTGGCCTGCACGCTCTCCAGACCTGATACCACTGGATTTTTTTGTTTGGGGTGACTTTAAACAAAAAGTTTATGCAAGTCCGGTCAATGACCTTAATTATTTATGAATAAGGATAATTGAATCTTGTGAAACAATAACACATATCCAGTGCTGTTCTGCCACTGCTGCTGTTGAAGAAACATGCTGAGCCTTTATTAATGCTCAAGGAAATCACTTTGAACATTTAATATGAATGTTAGTGTTTACATTAAATTAATAAAATAGTTAGAACAAACAAATAGGTTTTATTTATTTCATATAATGTAAATAATTCATAACAACGAAAATCTTTAGGTGTGAATATCTCGTAAACAAAGCATTTGCGGCTATACCTTTAGAGGAAATTTTTTTCTTGTTTTGAGGTCCTTAGTTCATTTTTGCAGTTTGGCCATTTAACCCCAAAACACCCTGTATATTGTTGCAAAGCATATCAATAATAAATTAATAACAATGGTCCTTAGAACTATACCTCACCATCTGCCATTTTGAAACAAGAAATGGCAGCAAATTTAATCTTACATACACCAATATCTTGCCCATTTATGAAGATAAAGGGGAATATAAAGTGTTTTGAAATAACTATGTCAAAGCTTTAAAATAAATAAAACATATTTAATCCAAATTATTCATTTTTTTATATATATAACTATTTGATCATAATATACCATTTTGTGATTATTGGTAGTAGTTTTAATCAAATAATAATTTTATGACGTTTCAGGATCACTTTATTATCCCATCTTCAGACTGTATCTCATCTTTCTATCATCTTATTTTTTTAAAAAGATTTGTCATAATTTTTTATTATATTTTCATAATTCATCTCATAATTATATTGTCGACTCCTCTAGGGAGAGCCTGGCATGGGAGAGCCTGGCAACAGTGTCTGGCATGTTTAGGTTTTATAATTTTGGCGTGTTTATAATTTTTGAGCTACTGTGTCTGACAAGGCTCTCCCTACAGGAGTCTACAATATAATTAAGAGACAAATTATGAAAATATAATAAAAAAATTATGACAAACCTTTTTAAAAAAATAAGATGATAGAAGGATAAGATACGGCCTGAAGATGGGATAATAAAGTGATCCCGAAATGTCATAAAAACATAAAAATAAAGAAAAATTGTTGGGAGAGTAAAGCTGTTACTTAATTTTGATGTATATACCTCAGATAAAAAGCATCTCCCTTAGGACTTATGAAAATATGAAAAAAAAAAAAACAATACATTTTTTTCAGCTACTGAATAGTGACTCAAATATGTTCGATAGAAAAGAAAATGTTTATGAAGTGAAAATGTGTAGCTCCTGAAAAGTTTTAACCACAATATAATCAAAGACTTTGTTTTATTGTTACAACCATGTAAAAACAATTTGGCGGCTGAGAAAAAGAGAGATATAAAAGAAAATTATACATCATTCTCAAGATTTGATCAATCAAATCTAAGTTGTACTTTAGTAACTTTAAAATGTATTTTAATTGAAAAATAACAAAAAGCATCAGATATTTTGAATTGGTACTTAGATCGTTTTTACTGGCAGAAATATGTCACACAGCATATTCTATGTTTTTTAATATAAATGATTTCTTTTCATTCATAAGAATGCATTTTTAAAAATTTATAGCATATTAGTTTAAATCTTATGCCATATCAGAAATAAAAAAATTAGTTCAGATTTTTTATCAAAAGTTTTTTCGCAAAAAAAAAATTGAATAACCTAAAATAAAACTTTGAGCACTTAGCCTGTTATTGATGTTCAGTCTTCAAATAGGAAAAATAAGTCAATTTGAATATGAATATAAAATATATCATATTTTGATAAACTCATATTAATGAAATGGAATATATATTGTTAAAGCTGAAGTACCAATACCACAAAAAAATACTTCAAGAATCAAATAGGTGTAAGAAAAGACAAAATACAAGTAAAAATATTTTTTGATTTTTGAGGAGGCTTTGCATTCCACTTAGTAAGAACAATGAATTAGGCAAAGTCATTCATCCTCAGTTTCATCACTCATCCTTAGTACACTTCCAGAAATCAGTACCCAGGAAAATTATCAGCAATATATCAAATGAACAATGAATTTTTTCACATAACAAAAATATATATTACATTAAACTAAATCAGTGGACATAAATAAGATTGTTTTAAAAATAAAACATATTTTATAAAAATTAATCATACCTTTCTACCCCAGTTGATCAAATCATCAAGTCTTGTTATGGCAAACTCTGCTAAATTATTGGCTTTGGGGAATGGAGAATAAGGCCTCTTTTCCTTTTTATGTTCTACAACAATGAAAAACATCATTTATATATTTAATTTTCAAATAATACAGCCGATATAAACTTTCCATACTGGTCCTTACTTGAGTAATGTTAATCTTAATCATAGTAAATGGAAGTGAGATCGATTAATCTAAAAATAAATATTAATTCATTATGTAAGTTATTCAGTAATAAATCTTTTTTTAATAAGTAATACATACGTAAACTTTTCAGGGCAAGTGATTAATAATTATAACCTCTTAATTGTGATTAATAATTAATATAGTAAATAAGAATCGAAGAGTGTAACTACAACCAGGGATACCCATTCCCTCCCCCAAGGTCGATGGTACAAGAACTTACCCCCTTTCCCTCCCCATTCTGCTAAGGTATTTTGTTCCTCACCTTTCTTAAAATTGTAGATCATAAATAAATACACTTACTGTGGTCAATTCCATGTTTTACCGTAGTCCATTAGCCTGAAAATTCATAACACCGTCGAAATTTGCCCCCCTCAACAATTCAAAAACCAATCAAAATATGCTCCCTCAAAAATTTTTATGGCTCAACTTGCGCCATAAAACCCCCTTCTGGGCACATTTCACAACAAAAACAGTGAAAAAATACTGTCCAATTATTTAATGTGTGCATCAATAATCAAAACAGTAAAGTTAACTATAAACCAAAGAAAGATACAAAAAATGAGCGAATACAGCCATCCATAATTAAATCATACTCAATATTTGAAAATTTTAAAACATTAGTTTGTTTGTTTATTTGCGGCACAGTATCCTTTGTACTCCAACCAGGACAGGAAGGATCTGGCTTCAACAGGTAAAGTGAAAAGATCGAGATTTATTACATAGGTGAGCAAAAAAAATAAATTAAAGAATGTAAACCAGAGTAGCCATTTATTACTCCAAAACGCTAAGGTAACACCTCGACAGGCTTAGTCATCATGATCACATAAAACACATTCATCATGAACACATTTTTGTAACACATTCTGGTCGCAATCAATATAAAAGCTCCACTTTGACATGTAGAAACAAAATAGAAAAATTATTTGAACGTGTATAAGAAAAATGTGATAACAATTATTGTACGAGATAATATAATGACATATTAAAATGGTAATGAGGTATTTTGACATGAAAATTATACAATTGTAAATACACAAATATTTTTGCAACCATCAAACATATATAAATTTGAATTATTCTATAAATTAAAAGAGGTACAATGTTAGAAAAAATAATAAGGGGTGAAGCCCACTTAATTTGTTGATAACTGTAAATATGGTTGGTGGGACACAGTGAACATTTTTTTTTTGTTTTTTTACAAAGCATTGAACTTTAAAAAAATATAAAATAATTACAAAACACATTCCTCGTATTGTGAAAGCCAGATAAATTCAATTTTAGTGAATACAAATTCTGTGGAACTTCACCAAATAGGTGATATCCGAGCAACTTGATTCCCTTCTCTGTAATTTAAAATTAAAACAAAAGCGCTTCCTGTCCCATTAAATGCACAATTTATTGAAAACAGCTTTGTATAAATTGAATCATCCAATCCAGTTGATTATACGCATCAAACTAACAACTTTCAATTTTTTTTTTTTTTTATTGAGTAGCCAATTCAGATAATTAAACATGTGTATAATTAAAACCTGTACCAGTGCAATCCATGAAGGGACTTGAGTTAATTACTTTGAAATGAAATTATATTTCTAAGCTAACATTTGTGTAGGGAGGTGAACGGGCAGTGATCACGCTTAACTGTCAGGTTTTTCACCTCAAAAACATTTAATTAAGAGTACCCACTTTATGGAGGCTAGATGAGCCATAGGAGGGTTTACTGATCCCAGGATTGATCCACTGCTGATGTAACAGAATAGCATAGCCTGCCATCAGCCGGATTTGAATCCAGGACCTTCATCATTGGAAGTCAAGTGATGGATAACTGATGTTTAGATAATTGATGATCTAATGCAATCATTCAAATGAAGTTAATTTTCTTTATTGAAGCTCAAAATAAATAGATCAACTTCATATGAAAGTAAAGAATGTACATACCTGTTGAAGGCTGAACTGCTGAGGACAGATGTTTGTTAAAAATTGATAATGTTGGAGTTAATTTTACCAACTGCTGATTGCAGGCCACTGAAATCAAAATAAAATTATTAATATTTAATCAAATTTCTACTCCTGATAATCTAGGTAAAACTAAATATGAAATTATTAAAATCCAACTCCAGAGCAACCCGGAGAAATGCGCAGAGCCACCAGCCTAGAGGGGGCACCCACCAATAGTTGAAAATTAAAAAGATAATTACAAAGTATATGAGAATGATTAATTTCAGCCTATTGATAAAGGGACTTAATTAAAGACATATTAAATGAAATACAACTGAAATATCACTTAATATAAAACAGATTAAAAAATTAATTTTATTTCTGTGGGAGATATCATTGACCGGAGGTTACAAATAGATAAGGCCAGCATTGAATTTAATAGTCTCTAACAATATAAAGAATGAAAAAAACTAAATGTAGTAACAATATTGTCATGTAAGCATAAGACAATTCAAGTGAACAGTTTCTACAGTAAAATTTATAGAAAACAGAGTGTGTATGACAGTTTCCATATAAACAAAAATAAATGATCATGAACGTTTGATAAGATCATCTACAGATTAAATTTTACTTTGATTAGTGAAACTAATCATGCATTTCCTTTATTTTTAAAATTAACTTAACGCAAATATTAACTCGATAAAATAAGAACCATCCAGTTTTATTATTTCCTTCTTTTGATCACAATAAGTCTGGAGTGCCATAATCTGGAAGACAGCTCTTATAGTCGGAAATTACAAGAAAGGCTCAACTTAATTAATATATGAACAAATATGAATGTGACAAATATGAACAAAATAAGATGATAATGTCTCATGCTTGTTGGCCACAATGATAAACTCAGTCTATTATAAATGATGATATTGTTTTGATAAATTAAAATCCATTATATCTTCAACCATCAATTTTTCTATTATTTCTGTTAATGGATGAAGAACATTGCCTAAGAATACAAATTTCATTCAGGGCCCATTCCTTAAACAGGAAAGAATAAATTATTTTTTATTCTCCTCAGAAATGATGAAATATATTCCATAATAAAACATAAAAATTTTTAATTTGTGTTGCAAAAGATGTTTAACAACCACCTTCATGCTAAAAGCCGTCAACAATGAAAAATGACACTTAAAAAACTGAACAATATCATTTAATAGAGCAAGAAAGGTCTCCTAGTTCAGAAGTAAAAGACCGCTAAAAAACAAAAAATATAGAAATTCAAAGGTAAAAGTACGCAAAGGAAGTGAAAGACTTACTAATTTTCGATAAGCCTCTCATTTTTATAAAGAGGGAAATCTAAATTTGCGACTTGAAATTTGTTAAAAATATAGTTATAAAAGGCGTACACAGAACGTTTAAGACAATTCGAACGGGAGGGCAAAGAGGTAAAAGTAGTCAGCTGATAGGTTATTTCATTAATGTTCACGATGTGGCTGGCAATTAATTATATGCAATCATAATTATTTATCAAAAAGTTTGAATTTCTGCTAATTAAAGCTATTTATTTTTTTTCATTCAGAATTGTTTCTAACTATACCTAGAATAACTTCAACTGAGAAATATTCCATGATAAGACTCTGTTAAGAATATTTTTTTCTATCATATTTACAACCTTAAACGGCTCTTTACACGACCAATATTACTGAGTCAATTTCGAATATATTGACCATCTGAGGGATATATAGTAACAGTTATATTGGCATTTGTAATATGTATACCAAGTTCAATAATATTGCTTCAATATCATTGATTCGATAATATTGACAGTGTGAGGAGGGCTTAAGATGTGTTTACACATGAGAGAAACTTGTAGCCGGAGCTTTCCAGAGTTATTCGTGGAGCTCTTGAAACTAGAGAATGAAATTCATCCAATTTACTCACGGAGAGAAACTTTCCATGGCAACTCTCAAGAGTTCGCTTCGAGCTGTTCACAGATGGTCAGTTCCGAGAGTGATTTTAAGTTGCCAAGATGTCTTCGTAACGAAAAGGAGAGGTTACAGCAGCATTGTAAGTAATTTGCTAATCGGACAAAAACTAATCGAAAACAAAAAGAGGGCCATGTGCTAGTAACAAAGGAGAAATCATATGAGCTTTGGCACGCAGATTGGAACTTGTATACGCACAGCAATTTAGAAATTTTTACTGAATTTCAAGTATTGAAAATAAAGAATATTTGAAAATATTTTCTATATTTGCAATTCTCTATATTTGAAGATAGATAATTATTTCAAGAAAATGAAAAACATTTTTAAAATATACCTATAAACTTAGTCCCTTAACTTAAGTTGGAAGTTAATTAACTGGAATTCTCAAAGCATAAGCAGAACCAGGATTTAATTTTGAGGAGGCTTCAGCCCGAAGCTATAGATATAAATATTTAAAACGACAATTACTTGGGTTGAAAAATAAAGAAACTAACCACCTATATGAAATGGTGTTTGAGTGATTCTTGAAGTTCTTTTAAAATTGTAATCACCCAAACAATAATACTTTTAGAGATTGTTTTTTAATTAGATTTGGATATGTTTAGTAATGTTTAATTATTCAGCTTAGATCACTCACAGTTACAAATATGGACCAATGAAAAAAAAAAAAAATCCATTTTGGGAAAGCTTAAGTCTGAAAGCGTCCCCTCCTCTTAGGTCCGCCTTTGTACCAAATGTTCTGATTCAATGAGTATGCTTCAATAAGCTTATAGCGGTAACTAGTTCCCGCTCTTGCCACAGGGTAGAACTAGGTCGCCTTCCCGCTACCAGGTAGCGCCTTATAAGCTCGCCCATGCAACATACTAAAAATTGTATCTTTTATTTTTTATTGTTGTATTATAAAATACTCAAATTGTAAATGGGAATATGTATACACATTGTAAGTACTTTTTATTAATAAAGTTTAATGGCGATAACATATACTGATCAAAGCTCAAAAATAATTATTATTGTAACGGCTCCTGGTAGCTGGTTTAGTCTTGGCGGAATGAATACCGCAGTCAAATCTCACATTGTCATATCTTCGGATCTCTACCCCTTCAAGATGTAGACCAGCACGCAGATGATCATTATATGCTTAATATGCGCTTTTTGGTTTATCTAATTCGGCTACTGTATTTCACTATGTCCATTAACCTTTTTTCTCTACTCTTACTCCATGCAAGTCCGGGCACTGATCCGTCCACTTGCCGTCTTATATACTAAGTCAGGAGGTTGACCCCTCCGTTAGTATTTCATCCTCCCACAAGTTGTTCATCCTCTGGTTGTGGTTACTACCCTTGCGGAGTGCTAAGCTTGATCTCTTACACCGCAGACCGAGAGTGATTGGGTGCTGATCCGCCTATCACTTAAGGTCATCCTTCCATACATCTTCCTTCATCCAGTCAGTCATCTTAACCCTCTATAATGAACACGCACTGTCGAGGTCTTCTGGTAACTTTGATATCCTCTCTGCACATATACCTCGACAAGCTTTCAAAAATCTTCACGAGTCCATTTTTTTTATAATAATGAAATAATTGAGTTACGAACTAAATCCCGAGAGCCTATACCGTTTCGAAAGTAAATCTAACTCTTCCGAGAGTAAAAAACACTCACGTGCCGGTATCATGAGCCTTGTCTATTAAACATAATTAATATTTCAGAAGTATTGAATTGGCTAACTACACTAACGCAAACGTTGCAGAAATTTTTCAACATGTTGAATATTTAAGCTATCTGTAAACATCGTAGGTTTAAAATCATCAATAAAACAATCACCAGGTCGGTTAATCATCACTATTATAAGTATTACAATCTGGTATGGGTCTTCACCTCATCAATGCCTTTCCTTCATTCTATTTTGTTTTGCGCAAGATCCTGTAAAACTCATTTATTCTTCTTACCAGTGCTCCATTTTTTATACGTCAACATTGCGGTAATCGAACTTTCTCCGTTCTTTTTACACATGCACTGCGTTTTTCTTTCCAATAAACTCAATTCAATTCACTTCTTAATTCTGGTGGGCATTTCTTCCTCTTAGATGCAGACTTCAATACAAAGTATCAACAATGGGGTACAACTCGTAGAGCAGATTACTTTGCCAAAAACCTTTCCTCCTTCTTCGTCTTTTGCCACATCCTTATTGCCATTAACGTGGGGAACAGCCTCGGCCCATCTTGTCCACTGATCTCTGTCACTGGCCCTCCTTCAACTATCCACCATGGTGCTACCTCTGGCTCGCCCGAGTCTCTCCATGTAGTCATAATACAACGGCCGGGGTCTGCCTCTAGGTCGCCTTCTCTCTGGTTTTGCTTCTAGGAACCATTTTGCATTTCGGCTATCACCCACCAGGTACACATGGCCAAACCACTTCAATTGGCGCTCCTCCATGACTTGTTTTACATTCCTTATGTTCAATTCCTCTCTTATCCTCTCGTTCCTCCAGCGGTCTCTTCGTGTTTTCCCAAGAACTCTCCTAAGGTATCTCATTTCTATGGTCGTTACATTACTTGCATGTTTGTCCAGAATCGTCCAATTCTGCACCATTAAAAAGGACAGGCAGAAATACTGTTAAACATATGAGAAGGAGTTAATCGGGGGTGCGGCCAAATAAATAATAAATTAAAATATATTATTTTTTTTAATTTTGCCGACGTTTCGACCCATTTTGCAGGTCGTCTTCAATTGGTCATCTTCATTGCACCCCTAATAATATCCACCCCAATAAATTATATCCACTTTATTTACACAAGTCCCTGTTCTGGGGCGCCATTTTGTTACGGTCTTTAATAATAATAATAATAATAATAATAAGGCTTAGCGAACCCGAAGGTTCGATGCCGACACCACCAATCGCTTGTTACACACCTCCCTCCACCGTTCGCCGTCCAAACCCAGTCCCTTGAGATCGGCTTTAATGCAATCTTCCCACTTTCGCTTCGGTCTACCCCTCGCACGCTTACCATTCGGCACAGCAAATATTAACCTTTTAGGAATTCTCTCGTTACTAAGCCCAACTACTTTACAAACCCATTTCATTCGCCGCGATGAAATTACATCAATTATATTACCCGGATACAGCTCACGCAATTCGGCGTTGTGTAACCGTCTGAACTCTCCGGTTAACTCATCCTTCTTTGGTCCGAATATTCTACGCAATACTTTATTTTCAAAAACCTTAAGACGCTGCTCATCCCTTAATGTAAGCGGCCAAGTTTCGCATCCATAAAGAACTGTAGGCAAGATAATTGTTTTATAGATTCTAATTTTTAAGTTTCGGGACAAGAGGCGCGAACTAAGTAGTTTTGTCACAGAAAAATAACAAGCATTTCCCGCCTTCAGTCTAACCTTAATCTCTTCTTCAATTTCGTTTTTTCTAGTTATCGTAGAACCTAGATACCTAAATTTATCTATCTGTTCAAACATATTACCATCTATATCGATATCACCAGTAGTATCGCCATTTTTGCAGCTAACCATATATTTTGTTTTATCCACGTTTATTTCGAGTCCTAGTTCTTTACCGGCTTTCATTAACGTTGTCGTATTTAGTTTTATAGTTTCAACGTCTTCGCTTAACAGTACCAGATCATCAGCATAGCCCAGCACGGATGTTGTCCCGCCCAGATCCAACCCTTTCTCGGTTCGCATTACCTCCCTAATGGCATGTTCTAATGCCAAATTGAACAGGACAGGCGAAAGAGAATCCCCCTGTTTTAAGCCCGAACGAACCTCAAATTTTTCGGACAAATTATTACCGATTCTAACTTTATTGAGTGTCTCCGTCAAGCACATCCTGACTAGATTTACTAGTTTTTTTGGAATCCCCTGCTCGATTAGAATATTATACAGTTTCTGGCGGTCAATAGAATCGCAAGCCTTTTTAAAATCTATATACAGCTGGTGAACAATATCGTTATACTCCAATTTTTTCTCTAATATTTGCCGTAAAGAAAATATTTGATCAATAGTCGAACGATTACGTCTAAATCCGCATTGGTAGTCTCCGATAATTTCCTCGGCGTATACCGTGATTCGACTGGTTAAGATTAAAGTGAATATTTTATAACATACCGGAAGGAGTGAAATTCCTCGATAGTTATTACAATCCGTCCTCGGACCCTTTTCGTGAATCGGAATAAGAATAGATTCTTTCCATTCTCCAGGTAATTTCTCGTTCACCCAGATCTTTTTAACCAACCGATGTATTTTAGAAACTCCAGCTTCCCCGCATGCCTTAATTAGTTCAGTAGGAATATTATCGATTCCCGCTGCTTTATATGATTTTAATTTTCCGATAGCTACTTCAACTTCCTCTTTACTTGGTCCTTCTATTAACGGTTCAGCACTCTGGTACTCAGAAGGAGGACACAGATCATAATTTCCCGTATTTAAAATATTGTC